TTCTTACTTCATCCACGTGCTTAAGGCTTAGGTCAGTACCTGGTCTGGGGCCAAGGCACCAAAAACTTTTCCAGTGTCCTGCAGTTCTCCTGAAAGATGATAAATTATCCCTCCTCTTCCAGAAGGCAAAAGTGCTGGATGTGCCTGCAGGAGTAAAGTGGGAGTGGAAAAAAACAGGGAAGAGGCAGTTATGTGGGCAAAAGTGTTTGGTGTGGTGGTGAAGATCAGATGTGGCAGGGGATAAGTGGTTTATAAATATATGAAAGCATTAACTGTTAATTGTAGACAGAATCGCCAGGACTGCGTGTTTGGATTTTTTACAAGGGTTAAGAATAACATGAGACAGAGAGGAGCAGCTAATTATATAAATGAAGAAAAAAAAAAGTGGTTTTTGATGTGTTTGTCACCTGGGTGGGAAGAGGTGACTTCCCCAACACTTATTTCCCAGTTTCTCGCTGAAAAATTTCTACAGAACCTGTAAAAAGGAGCTGGTGTGCACTAAAGCTGGGTGTCTCTGTTTGATTTGAAGAGGGTTTTGTTCCACAGTGGTGTCATTTTTGTAGATATGGGCGTGTCATTTCTGTCATAATTGTGGGTAGCTCGCTCAGACACATTTTTGACAGGTTTATGAGGGAGTTGGCACACAGCAGTGCATATATGGAAAGGCACGGCGCTGGCAGAGTAGTTTGGGAATAACAACCTTAAAAAAGAGAGAATGCTGGTTCCACCGTGGTGTTTTGAGGAGTGATTGGCACAGAAGGAGGAAGGGGAATGCTGCCACACAGCTCCTGCTCACCAGCTCTGCGGGGTGCAGACAAGATCTGAGGCTTTCGTGCAGCACGGATCCTTTGTGCTGAGCTGAGCCCTTCCACACTGCCCTGCACCAGGGTGTTCATCTGCTCAGCAAAGGCATTTATTTCTCTTCTCCCTTCTTCCTTCTTTCCAGAAAGAAAACATTACATCCGAGCCAAGCCTCACCTGTAAACTCAGCAAGTGGCTTTATTTCCTTTTATTTCTCTGTGTTGGGAGGGTGGTTAAAGGCTCCCTGTGTCTTTAAAAAGCCTAAGGTTTTTTAAAGATTCAAATTAATCAGCTTCAGCAAGGCTGTTTTAAAGCTGCAGCCTTGGATTCCAATTATGATTGCTTACAGTTTTTACTAATTTAAACAGATTTTTGGAAAAGTGCTGCTTCATAAGTAGGAGTTGCCCCAAATTATGTCCATCCTTGGAGATACTCAAAACTTGACTGGACGTGGCCCTGAGCAACCTAAACCTGCTGTGAGTAGGAGCTTGGGCTGGATGATCCCTGGATTTCTTGTCCAACCAACGTGATTCTGTGAATCCAAAGTAACACCTGAATAATCTCTTACCTGCCTTTGAGGTGCCAGGAGTCACTGAAGATGCTTGAAGGACTTCATTCCTTTGATTTCTCTCTAAGGATCCCCAAGCAAGTTAGTAAGGAATGAAGCTTCTCTCTCCTTCTCCCATCAGTAAAGGACAATTAGAGTCAAGAAAAGACTTGATTATGATCCCAGTGATGAGATGGGATTAATCTGGTGCTGAAGTAAATTTAGGATGCTGGCTTTGTGTCATGGCAGACATTTAACATGGAGTGAATCTGTAGGGCCACCCTGCTGTGTCAACCCTGCATTTCCCCCTCTCTGTGGTCTTGGGCCTGCAACTGGAAAGGGAAATTTTCTTGTTAAGCCTCATTGTCCAAGAAAAATCCTCCAGCTCGTTGTGGAGGTGCAGCCTGTCACAGAGGTGCATGATGCAATCAAAATGCAAGTGTGAGCAACACTATCAAACCCGGTGTTTAACAGGCAATTACCCAAATGCTGGTGAATCACAGTCACTGGGGGTTTGTGGGGCTCACCTGGAATCACTGCATAGCCCAGTTAATGCGGAATCCGTGGATATTCTGAGGCAAACAGCTTGGCAGAGGGAGGAGAGGGAAGGTGAGCCTAAACAATCCTTGTTTTCCCAGCTCTTTGGAGGAAAACGAGGAGTCAGGGTACTGGGGGGGGTGAGCAGGAGTGTAACCTGTCACAGAAACAGGTGAGAGGGTGAACGGGGCTGGGTTTGGGAAATGCACAAAACACCTTTCTGTGCAGAGCAGGGTGGTGGGAAAGCCAGAGGATCCAGACACAATTCCAGGAAGCCAGAGGAAGGAGGGGCTGTTACCAGCAGGGATTGTTTCATTTAGCAATTAGTTGTTAAATCTCCTCTAAGGCAAATAAAGCAGAGGATGTGAGCTCCTGGAACTGCTCCCTCCTCCCCTTCCCCACATACCCACACCCTTTTCTGCAGATCCTCTGGGATGGGAGGTGTGTGTGGGGGGCTTGTTGGTGATGTAGGGCAGGTGCTTGGGGGGGATTCAAGAGTGTGGGGTCTTTTTCATGCTCTGTCTGTGATGTTCTGAGTGACCTTGGGTGAGCTGTTCCCCCGTGGTCTTCTTTTACCCTCCTTTTACCTGGCAGATGCATTTGAAGGATGAACTAAAGGATCTCACATCTTGAGCATCGAGGTTTTTCCTGGAGTGCAGGGAAAAGGAAAGTGCTACAAGTCTCTGAACATGGGAGAAAAATCTCTTAAATTGTTGGTGTGCTGGCAGAGTCTCCCCTCCCTCCCCTTTGCGAGGGAGAACCGTGTGCAGGTGGAACACAGAGGGGTTGGTGACCCAGCTGAGCTGGAAGTGGCTGTTTTGTTGTGTCACCTTTTGGTTTTCACTCAGTGGTGCCTTTGTGAGTGCCTTTGTGGCCAGGTGTTTATTTATTTGCTCTCTTCTCCCTGACCCAGTGTGGCTCCTCACCTCGGCTGAGTGTGCTGGAAGAGGGACTGTGTGTGTGTCCCAACCTTGCCAGTGATTACAGAGGGTGCCAGGAGCAGGATGTGACCTGGGAAACAAATATCTCCTTTTCTGAAGGGAAGCTTTCACTCTGGGAGAGCAGGGGATGTGTTTCTTGGTATCAGATGGTCTTTGGTCTTGTTAGCAGACAGTGAGTCTGTTAACAATGACACTGAGAGCACTGGGGATGTATCTCCACCACATCCAGTGCCAATAGACTTCTTCACCTCCCAGGAGCTCTCTGGCAGACCAAATGCATCCCCTCTTCCTTGCTCTGGGTTGTGAACCCATCCTTTAGGGCTTTATCCACCCTGATATTCAGGATATCAGCTCCTAACAGACCCTGTGTTCCAAAACAGGACAAAGGCACGTTTCTCCCTCTGCCCTGGCTCCCAAGTTTTTATGGACAAACAGCATCTTCTTCAACACAAAGCTGGCCTCAGACTGAAGCATTTGCTGCAACCATTCCTGTTCCTTCCTTGCCTCCTCTCCATTGCTTCTCCTCGCTGAGAATTGAGAGGAGCTGCCTCTTCACTACAAATAACGATTTGTAAAACAGTGATATTCGAAATTAAGTGGCTGCTGCTGTCTTTGATGTTCTTGGCACTGTTGATTGCTACCCAGAGCAAGCTGGGAATTACAGTCTGTCGTTCTCTTGCCTCATAGCTCAGGGCTATATTTAGTAGTTCAAGTTGCAACAGATCTGGAAGTTGTTCCCTTCAGCTGCAGCAGAGGCTGGGGCTGTGATGGAGCTCGTTGGTTTGCCAGTGGTGAGTCCAGGAGCTCGTTTTCCATCACGAGGACAAACTGAACCAGTCAGTGCAGTCTTGCAGGGAGCTCCTGCTGGAGTCCCCCAAGCCTTTTAATGCCTGCTTTTTGCCTAAATCCTAGAGCTTGGTGCAGAAATTCTCCCTGTGATTCCTGGGGTGCCATAAGTGTCATTTCCTTATGGGGGGGGGGGGGGGGAGAAAGACACTGTCATTTAAAACCTACAGCTGTCAAGATAAAATTATTGCAGTGTCTTTCCTTGCTGATTCAGCAGTTGGGGCTCTGCTGAGCGAGTGTTCTCTGCAGGGCTCCATGAAAATCAAAAGATTATGTCTGAATTTTGAGTCCATCCACTGGGGCTGGAGATCCAGGCAAGTGTTGAAATGCTCTGTCTGCACACAGGGTTTGCAGCTCCAGAATTACAGGTCTGAGAGCCTCATTGAATTGTCAAAGGTTTTGAAAGCCCTGAGTATCTGTTGCTTTCAGTGGAGTTTACTCTTAATTGTCTCCTCAGAGTCCAAGTACAAGTGACTAAAACCAATAATGGAACCATGTGATCTGCTTCCTGCTGCCAAAAGGTGAAGGGAGGACAGCTGCTTTAGGAGTTAAATGAATATTTGAAAATGTTTTTCTTGCCAATAATAGGAAAGGGGTGAAGAGCTGCCTAATATTGCACTGCCAGGCTTTAACAATGCAAATAAGCGTGGAGAAAAAAGGTGGTGTTCACTCCCTCTTAAAATATGTGCAAATGCAGGTATTAGTGGTGGAGTTATTTATTTGTAATTTTCCAGAAGTGAGATGGGAGGAAACTGTCCATTTGCTCTGCTCTCTTCTCCTTCCTGACCAGTTTTCCCCCCTCCATGTTTCAGTTGCTTTGTGGCCAGTTGTGGTTTTTCTTTACACAGCAACAAGTAAGACAAAAACATAAATAAAGGAAAATGTGGTTGTGGATCCACACGTTTTTATGGAGTTTGACTGGACCTGGGGTTGGCTTTTTTCTGTCAAAAGCAGATTGGCCCTGCTTTGCTGTGCAGGGATTTGAGGCCAGAAATCTCTTTCTGCTGTGAATCCACTGTGATCTCTGACACAGAGGCTGCACAGGGATTTTAGTCACCATCAGACCTTTAAAGACTGTGGAGAAATGGTAGGATCCAAAGTGGGAAAATACTTGAAATTGCTGTTGTGACAACCAGTTTGGGATGGAAAGGTCCTATTCAACCCTATATTTTTATTTGCTTCCTGTGTTCTAGTAGTTCTTTAACCATAGATACCAACATCTTAACAAAAAAATTGTATTTTCCCTGCACTATTTGAGAAAATCACTTCTAATCTCATGTAATTTCAAACTCCTGATTTTTTTCCTATTGTTTTTTTTTTTTTTCCAGGGTGGTAAAGGAGGAGATCTCAGACGACAATGCAAAGCTCCCTTGCTTCAATGGAAGAGTGGTGTCCTGGGTATGTTGGCTCACGTGTCTGTAATAAATCTGTGTGGTTTGATACAGTATGTACAGGAGCAGCATAGTTGGTACCTGGATCCTGGTTTTTAGAAGTGTCTTGAGTCTCCAATTACGTGAAAACAAAAGCTTAGTTTTTAATTATATCTATAACGTCCTGTCGTTAAGTAATCTATTTTAAAAATGAGAGTGGAGTCCACAAAGTGTGCAGGGCTGAAAAGGGGATTTATACACGAAAACAGTTTTAGTCCTGTCACTAAACAGCCCAAACAACTTACTCAAAAACAGCTGAGCGTGATATTCTGGGGGGTTTTGGTCCTGTCATTTAAATGTCATTGTACTGCTATTGTGGAAGGTTTAAATGAGGTTTGAACACTGTGTTTGCATTCAGGAAAAAGACACAACAATTTATAGCCTTGGAAAAATAAACAGGGCAGAGGAATTTGGGGTAATTTGCCCAGTTGTGGAGGGCGTCAGCGATGCAGATGTTACTGAGCTGCTCTGCGGGTCTCACCTCCCTTCTTCTTTCCCTTGCCTGTTTTTAATGTGTTGATGTCCCCAGTATGCCACAATATTTGTTTGTCAGCTAACTGGAGTGATTAATTACCATCTCCTAAGTGTTCCACAGCTTTTGGTTGCTTCCCATCCACAAGCAGGTGCTGGGCTGGGTGTGAGCAGCAGCTCAGGCTGCACTGGTGCTGCCGTGCTTGGTCCCTTCTCCACGTGCCTCCTTCTTTAAATTTGTAATGTTCTACTTAATAGAGATGCCATAAAAGCCTGTTGGTCCCCAGGTTTGCTCTGTGAAACACAGTAATTTCCACCTTCAGGTGATGTTTGAGGCACAGATAAACACAGGGATAAACACAGGGATAAATTTGGAGCTCGGCCGTTTCACGCACACGTTTCTCCAGCTGGGGACAGGAGGTTTAACCCTATCCAGGTTTATTAAGTGGTTATGCACCTTCAGGGAGAGAAGAGAGCAGTAGTATTTTATATTTTAACACCAGAACAACATTTGGGACACGGTCTGTGGTTTTAATACCCTCTTTCAAGCTGACCTTACAGTCTTGGGGACAGGGACACGACAGAGGACGAGAAGAATTGCCTGTTTCCCCAAAACTCAAGTTTGTCTCGAGGATGAAATGTATTTTTACTAAGAGCTTGGCTTCAACAAGTGATGCAAGAGGGGTTGGAAACATAGTGCCATGGTATGAGAACTCTGCTGAAGTAACTGGAGACATGAGGCAGCTTTTCAGCACTGGAGAAATGTTTGGATATATGTTTGCAGCCTTCCTATTTCTGGTAGGATCAAGGTACACAAGAAAGTAGTAGCAATAAAGTAGGTTTACAAGAGTTTTTTCCAGCTGCACAGCTGGGGCTGTTGGCATTCTCAGCTGAAATGAGCTGCTCTGTCTCCATCTATTTCTCCAGTCCTGTACTGATTTTTAGGAGTTGAAGATCTTCCTCACACATTTACAGCCTGGACCCTTAAAATATTTCAGTATTTTAGACTGTAGCCTGAAATATTTTAGGCTTCAGTCACTGAAGCTAGACAGGATAAGGGAATTTGCATACAATCCTTCTGGGTAGCTTAAAGTTTCTAAGCCTGGCTTCTTGTAGACAGGATTACATGTCCTTTCAGTCTAAAATCAAATACAGTATTGATTGCACGCTGGTTCCTGCAGCAGAGCGTGTGTGTGCACTCCATTATTGTGGGAGGGAAGTGCAGTGGATCCTTTAAACTTCAGTTTGATTGGGAGAGTGTTCTCAGGCAAGGATGCCTTGGGGATCAGGAGGCACAGCCCCTGCTGGGGTCTGAGCAGCTGGAAATGCTCCTCTTGGGAGGGCAAGGGCTGGAGGGTGAGCTGAGCATAAAATTATTATCCCTTCTTCCTGCCCTAGTGATTGCTTTGCATTTTGGGGCGCTCAGATTCTGGCAGCTGTGGAGTCCCAACAGGTTCTCAGTGGTGGGCAGGCAGAACTGCTGGCTTTGTCACCTCAGTTCTCCCACACGTGCACAGAGTGTGAAGCACTCGTTAGATTTGGTATTAAATTGAGGTCTGAAAAATTGGGAGAGCGTTCTCCCTTCATTCTGTGCCCTGAAAAGCGACCTGTTTGTCCCTGGGAAATGCATTCAGGAGGAAAAGCTTTTTTTTATTATTTTATTTTTTTGTGGGACCTCCATACCTGTTTTTTGGCCCAACCTTTGGCCTCAGCAGCAAAGGTTGACTAATAACCAGTGTGACTTCCAGAGCTGTTCCAAGAACTGTATTTCCACCCAGCAGTGGGTGTTAGGCACTGGAATGCCCTGGTTTGGAAATGGGGGAGTGTTTTAAAGCAGAATTATGCTGACCTAAAGCTGTGCTGCTGGGCAGTGCTCAGGGAAGGAAACGAGCACCACAGGGATCTGCCCCACCAAAAAAGGATGATCCCCACGTGTCCTGCTCCCTGGAGGAGCAAATTGGTTGTCAAAAGAATTAAATCACTGGCATTAGGGAATCAAGTTAATGTTTAGACCAACAAACAAACAAACAGCCCGTGGTCTTTGAGACCCGAGGGTCCATCTGGAGGCAGCACAAAGTTCTTCCTTAATGAGGTGGTTGGCTGGTGTCCATCCTGGTGTGGGAACTGAGCCCAAAGGGGGTGTTAACCCCTCCAGGCCGTGCCTGAACATCCATCCTGGTGGCCACTGGTGTGGGATGTTCCCTTGGAAGGGCTGGATTTGGTTTGAAGGGCTCGGTGCTGCTGAATCTGCTGAATCTTTCAGGACACGCCTGAGCCCTGGGTGTTGGTGGTGCTGTTTTTGTGCTCAGTCCGAGGATTACTGAGGGCTATAGCGTGGGGCTCTGACAGTATGGGAATGGATGGGACAAAAAGGGACTTCATGTGTGATTAACGAGAGCCTCGGGTGCAGTGGGCTGGGGGGATGTCACTGGTGTGGCCGTGGCGTGAGAGCAGCTTCTGTTGGAAAAGCAATTTAATAGCAGCTCTTATCAGGAGAGCAAATTACTCCTGAGAACCCCTTTCCTCCTCCTTAGTGTGCAAAACCTGCTCTGTGTTTGCTCCTCAGTGTCGTTCCCTTCCCTGTTTCTTCCCCTTTCCCCCCCGTGCTGCTGAACTGGTAAATATTAATTCAGGCAACAGGCTGATAATCTGGATTGTCTTCTGCATCCCTGACCTGGGTCTCTTCTTCCCAGTCCAGTGGTGTTTGTTTTTATCTGTGTGGTCTGGTTAAAACATTTGTCTTTGCATTGTTGATTCAACACACCAGTGATTCATTCTGACTCCCAGACACCATTTGGGCTCTTCTGTGCAGCAAAATGTGACTCAGGTTGTTCCAGCAAGGGCCAACATTCTTGGAGTTGGAGCAAAACCAGTCCCCCAACACCAAACTACTCCACATAAATAAGAAATTAACCTCTTTAACCTCTTCCCTCTCCCAACCAAACCCCCAAGGGTATTTTATCTCTGGTTAAGAGCTGAATTCTTTTCCCAGCTCCTTAAATAACATGAAAATATATGGCTTTTCTGTTTTCCAGCTGAAAAACAGGAGACTGTGAAGAACAGTAAGATCAGAACAAGACTCTGTATATGTACACACACACAAGTTCAATGTTGTGTTTTAATTCTGGGGCTGTTACTATTTTCATTTCAGAGAAACATTACGATCTGTGAAATTTTAAGAATTAATGTTAAGAATTTTAAGAATTAACTCGATTCACTGCTATTCCTGTTCCAGTGTAGGTTGCTGGCCAGCCCAGGAACTTTAACCCACGAGGATCAGTCTGAGCCAGCAGCCAGGCCTCTGACAGAGAACGGTGCTATTGCAGAGATCTCAGGGCAAAATTTAGATGTGTGGCTTAAATTGATTATTTCAGAGAATTAGCACCGTGGAGCCTTTTGTGTGCGCTGCAGCAACGTGGGGTTTGCAGACTCTGCTCTCAGCAGCAAATGACATAATGCTTTATAAACCCATTTCATTCAGCTGAGGCAGACACACGGCTTGGAGGCAGCAGGGAGAGATCCATCGCTTCAAAATGTGGGCTCTTCCCTCCCATCAGCCCGCTTCCAAATTTCTCTGCTTATCCCCCCTGGTTTGGCTTCGGTTTGGAGCTCTCAGAGATCACACGGGGCGCTTTTTTTTGCAGATGATGTTGACAAGGGCTTCTGTTCACTGGCTCAGCAATCAGCTGAAACATCTGTGTCTGACCTGCATTATGAATTGCAAATTACTTTTTCCACACTAACACCCATAAAATTGCCGGGCTTATCTGCCTCTATTTGCTGCTAATTACTGGAGGAGTTTTATGTAAATCTTGCTGTAAGTTAATTGTTCGCAGTTTCGAATTCTTTAATATCCTATTCACTGGAACTTACCAGATAATTGCATACAAATCTTTCAGGGATAGCAAAGTTGGTCTTTACCTTTTGGGGAAAAAAAAAACAACCAAATGTGTTTTGGGCAGGGCTGTTTCCTTCTCTGGTTTTTAACGTGCTGGACCTGAGCTTTCTTTGTCTCCAGCGCTATAAAATGTGTGTCAGCTGGTAGCAGACAGCTTGGGATTCTTTCTCAAAACCATCTGTGATAATTGTGGCCCTCACTGTAAATGACTGCAGCGTCCCTGCGTGTGGAGTTCAGACCCACACAACGCATCGAAAATTGGAAAATTAAACGCACACACGACAGAGCTGAACCGTCTCTGCCCCCACAACCCCCCTCCCGACTGATCCAGTGGCCACTTTGAAGTTTTACAAGATGAGTGACATTTGGAAATTTGAGATTTTCATCTTTTTTAATAACATTTGAATCCTTCTATTTGTCGGAGGTGGGAACTTTGATCTTGGTGTCATCTGCAGGACTTGATTTCCATAGGGGAAGATGTTCAAGGGAGGATCTGCAAGTCTTTAGCTGTTGCTTACTTTTGCTGCCCTGAGAACTCAATGTACAGCTAAATTAGGTTTGAATTAGAATCACTGCTGCTAATTAGCTATTTAAACTTC